GACTGGCTCTGAGCATCCGGCTCCTCCGACTCGTTTCCATGCTAACCCCATGCAACAGCACCAGCCGCCCTCCCCAGCACGTTTTACAACAGCGACGAGCTGTGATTTTCTGACCTGACGCGTGCTGTTAGAAAACCTGTTTCATATTTTCCGTGGTATCGATCTACAACTTTTGAAATCATTGGAGACAGTTGTGGTAGCCTAAAAATTGTGCTGAGCTCATATATTTTTATATTTGTGGTGTTTTCCTATTAATAGAGAGTAGTGAACCAGTAACCCTATTAGCTGAAAGTGAACTATTCAAAATAAATATACGACTGCAGAAAATATTTGTAAAAATAATTTATTTAAAATATTCTGCCAAAGATAGCTCTCTAATGATCTGTAAAATGTTGTTTCTCTCTTTTGCTCTGAATGTCATTGTGAAAGCACCTTTCTTCCCACTATCTTTTGAAGATTTGCTTTTTTGTATCTTTAAGGGCAAAGAAATACGCCAATGATTTTTTTTTAACAGAGCAGTAAAATAGAGTAGTAGGGAGGCACAAGACAACTTTATAAAGGTGATAAACGGGATCCAGTAACCATCACACTGAAAATCCGGTTTCTCCTGTAGTTCCTCGTGTGGGCAGATGGGTTTTGAACCCCGGGCCAGTTCTCTAGCAGGAAGGTCCCAGCTGCGGCTGCTGTCGCTGCTGTGTAGCTCACCTGAAGGAGAGAAATCTCTCCACCATCCATTTGCAGGCTCGGGGCATTTGCACCCCTTCACGGGTAACTTCTGCCTCTTCATTATTTAAGAGCGCGATACCTTTATTAGCCCTCAATAGGCCCTGTGGCAGATGGGTAACCCATGCTCAGGGCTCTGCGGGGCTTCGGCCCCAGGAGGTCTGGCCCCCTCCAAAGCCATTCCCACCGCGCGCTCGCTGCCAGCAGCAGCCCCGACCCGGCAGCAGAAGTAATCCCACTGACACCCGGATCCGTCCCCTTCCCTGCATGGGGACAGGGGCAGGGGAGACCCAGCCATCACGGGATGTGGTACCTCAGCCAGGGGATCCGTCCCTGCAGGTCTGCAGTTAAACAGGGGGGTGTGCGGCTCTTTACCAGGAAGAGGCTGCCCAGATTAGTCTGTTCAGAAATTGCAAATCTTTTTTTTTTTTTTCATAGAGGAAAAATCTTATCTCACTTCTTTTGAAAGTACTTTTCAATGCTAGGAAAAGCCTTCATTATCTCCTGCAATCCCCAAGTCTGTTGCAGTGGAAATACATCCTCAGCCACCTCCCTTAGGCTCCACCATATCAGAGAGATTTTTGGCTCAGGTTTTTTTTTTCACTTCCGAGCAGATTCAGTTTCTTAAATTTCTTGGTCGTAAAGGTCCAAAGGAATTAATTGATAAGAAGGAAATGAGGGCCCTGTTCCAGTGAACCGGTTTCCACGTGCAATTCAACTTCTAACTGACCACCAGTCAGGCACATGTGTAAGTGCTTTACTGGACAGGCGCCCAGAAACGGAGACGTGAAAAGCAGTTTCCAAGCCGTGGGGTGCATACGGGTGTGACGAGGGCACCACCGTCCATCAGGTGCAGGTGTCACGCCACAGCACGGTAAAGCACAATCTGCAGCCATGGGAACTACATGCCAGTGAATTTTTGTTCCTCTGTACAACGAGCTCTCTGAACACAGGGTTACGCAGCTGCTGCATCACAAGGAAATGCGAGGGAGACGGGGAAGACAATTGTGAGAAGAAATTGGGTTTCTGATCACTGTGCATTTTGTTAATTAGTGAATTCAAATAGTTTTATTTTTACCAAAAGCAGATAATCTTTATTCCAGTAAAGACAACTGTTGACTTGAGATATATATATATAAATATATATATATAATTTGAATGGTTTATATCCTGTTGCTCTAACTACATAAAATGGAAACATGTTGCAAGTTGTGTCATTCCAATGTACAAAATAAATGACTTTTTTCCCTGCATGCTGCCTGGGTATGTTGTGATTTGAATTAAGAGTTATATTTGAATTGCCTTATTCAAGAGGTTGTATGTTACCTAACTGGAGAATGACCTGGCACTGTTCATCACATTACATGTGTACTTGATGCTGTGTTACGTCAAATTCAGATGAGTTGTCTGTCATCTATGTATTTTGTGGGAGACCTTTTATCTTGTTAAACTGTGATATGTAAACCTCTCATTGCCTGAAATAGTCAGAGTTGTATAAATCAGTGTCTTCAGCTGTTTTCCTAATTTTATCACATTTCCTAACACAAAATATAGATGTTTGTAAATTCTTCATTCATTTTGTCTATTTTTATGTATGAGGCTTTTTTAATCTGGCAAAGGAGTAAGATAAGGCAGCTTCCCCCGAATTTTTCAATCAAGGCTCAGTTACATTTCTATCCCTCAGCAAGATGCAACAACCGATTTTCAGCAGCTACAATTGGCATTAGGGACGTATGTTTATTGCTGTTATCTTTTCTGGCTCAGATGGGCCATTATCGCTGCAGAACACAATGATAAATGACAAGCCACATGTGATGCTTCTGTAGTGACAGCCCACTGGGGACCAGGCGCTTTACAGTGGCTTCTTCGGCCCCACGCGGCTGCCGTGCCGCAGGTTGAGTGGGAACGGAGTGGGTAGATGTCCCTGCCACAGCCAGCCAGCCGCGAGGAGAGAGGGGAGAGATGCTGCTTACTAATCCCGACTCCGGGGCACTTTTTCTCCTTACATGAGACACCCCAAGACCGTGCCATCTGCCCTCCTGCGTGACAGCCCGGCCGTAAAACTGCACCTTGTCCATTTATTAACCCCACGGCTGCAGCACGCCCCTGAAGACCGACATCCCGTCCTGACACTGCGTCGTGCAAAATCGCCCACGACGGCTGCTGCTACAGCGTCTGCTGGAGCCATGCGTGGGTTTTTTTTCCCTAGCTTTGGTTTCCAGCCATGGGATCACTTTACTCCACGGCTGGCTAACAGCAGTGTGCTCCCCAGCTAGACACCAGTATACCACGTACAGGTCAGATCCTTTGGAAAACATGCCACGCCGTTGAAGGAAGCAGTACAAGGTAGGCACAAATCTGTTTCGGTAGGAGCACAAGGACAAGAGGTGACCCAATACCCCCCGCAGTGGGGTTTGCCAGCTCTGCCGTGTCACCCCTCTTGCCCCCCCCCCCAGACACAACTGCTGCCAAGGGCTGCAGCATCGTGAGGCCAAGAGACAGGGCTGATTGGGGAACAGACCCCCAGAAGCCCATCTCCTGCTCTCAGCTGACAGGGGTATTTCTGGGTGTTTTCCCTCCGTGCCTAAAATGCCAAATAAAACAGTTGTTGAGAGCATTAAAACACTCTTGCCAGAGCCAGCCACGGTCCCAGCTCAGTTGTACAGGTGCCATCATCCTAACCAGAAGCAGCATAAATGTTTCAGGCATACGAAACCACACCGAGGTGTCTCAATCATGGTGTAAAAGCCCCACTGTGCTCCCCCCACTCCTCCATTTTTTGACTGTCGCTGCATAACTGTGCCGTATGAAACGCTGGTCATTTTTTATATCTAGTAACCATAGAAACACATAGTCAGGGATGTAAATTCCTGGAACAGGACAAGCTGTGGTCCTGGGTTATTGATTCCCTTTCCAGGGCTTCAAGTGCTATAAAATTTCCTGTTCCATCCAGAAACACACCTCCCAGTTTTCTCTTTTCCTCCCTTTAGTTTTGGCAAGCTTCAGGTTTGAAGGATGCTGTGGGCGAAAGGGAGATGCACCGGGAAGGGCTGGGGTAGCACAGGAAGGAGGTTGTCAGAGAGACGGCTCTGTGCAGCACCCCAGAGAAGACCAAAAAGACGAATGGTGAAACGAGTTTTGCTACAGGCACCCCCTTTTTTTTTTTTGAAGCGTGGGGTAAAAATGCTAATTTTTGCCTTATCCACTCGAGGGCTCTTGGCGTGACCCCAGAAGGGTCTGTGGTCATGCCCCATTCCCTGCCCTCATTGCTGCTGCAGGGAGGCACCATCTGGAAGTCACAGGCTCAGCCCCAGCTGGCAGGAGAGGAAAGGACCCCATGGCTTTCGGTGGGCTCCTCGCAGCGTCGTGATGCTGGACCCCCACCTTGGTTCCCCTCACTTTAACCTGCCCTGTCCTCGGCTCTGCTGGCACAGCTCGCGGTGCCCTGCTGGGGCTTGTACAGCCCCGGGAGTGCAAGGGGACATCCCGGGGTGTGCAAGAGGGCCCCCTCGGGTGTGCAAGAGGGCATCCTGGGGTGTGCAAGGGGACATCCTGGGGCGTGCAAGAGGGCATCCTGGGGTGTGCAAAAGGGCATCCTAGGACGCGCAAGAGGGCACCCTCGGGTGTGCAAGGGGACGTCCCGGGGCGTGCAAAGGACATCCTCGGGGACAGGGATGGGTACAGGGCTTGTCCGCAGCGGATCTGCCCTCGCTCGGGGGTAGCCCTGCTCCGAGCCAAGGCTGGGCTGGGGCCCTCCGGTGGCTGCTCCTGTCACTCCTGGCCCAGAGAGCCACCTTGGGCCGGGAGGCCAAAAAAAAGGGTCAGAAACAGGAAAAGTGAAATCTCGAAACAAGCCTCAAGAACTGGACGAGGAGAGGGGACGAGTTGGGCTTGTCCTGCCCCGGCGCAGGGTTGGCCCTTCCCTCCGCCCAGTCCTGCGGGGGTCTCCACGCCGGGGCCGGGGGGGCTGCTCTGGCTCTGCCACCCCCGGTTTGCAACCCTCACCTGCGGGAGACCCCCCCCCAAAACCAACCCCGCATCGGCTGCAGCAACAGCGGCGCCGAGACCCGCCACAACACAGTGCACGTAATGGCGGCGGGCGGGACCGGCGGGAGGCGCGGCCCCGCCCCCCCCTCCCATTGGCTGCCGAGCGGCGGCGTTTTCCCGCGCCCGCGCGCGGCGTGGCGGGG